ATTTTTTCCTGGGGGCCCTGGATTTGTGTACAGCTGTCTTGACTCAGGGCATTAAAATGATTGCGGTCGGGCGTATAAAGGTAAGGGCCTCTTGGCCTGCGGGGGGGAGCGGGGGGGGGGGCGGGAGCGGATGTTTTTTGCACAAACAAGGTGGCTGTGGCCTGGAGGGGCGGCGGAGGAAGAGGGGGGGTCACATGAAAGCCACCTGACCACATTACCCAGCATCCCGGCCCAGGGTGGTTGTGAGCTGCTTCAAAACAGGAAGGGGGGAGGGGAGCAGGCCGTGGCCAGAGGCCGATTCGGAGAAACTGGGCCCCGCGAGTTCTGGGTACTTGGCTTTGGCGGAGGCTGTGGGACCAGGCCCAGCCCCGGGATGTGGAAACCGCAGCTGGGGAGGCGGCAGGCGTTGGAAGGGGAGCTGCTCCAGCTGGGCTGGGCCTTTTGGGGCTCCCAGGGGGGATGGGAGGGGGCGGGGTGTACAACGCCCGCCTGGACCCTGGGGCCAGGCCCCCACACCAGCTCCTCGTCCTCCTCATCCTCCGGACAGCCTGCTGTGCAGGTTTTATTGTCCCATTTGCAGAATGTGGAGCCCGGGTCCCCAGAGGGTGGGTCTCCTCGGGGAGCACTTTTTGGGGTGATTTCATAAGCAGGCAGGCCTGGGTCCCCCTGGTGAAATCCTGGAGGTTGGATGCAGGCAGCTTTCTGCCACAGCAGAGCTGGAGGAGGCAGGCGTTCAGGAGGCATTCAACCTTTCCCCAGCCTCGGGGCTCCTTCCCCAGCCTCGGGGCTCCTTCCCCAGCCTCAGGCCTCCTTCCCCAGCCTCAGGGGCCTCCTTCCCCAGCCTCGGGCTCCTTCCCCAGCCTCAGGGCTCCTTTCCCCAGCCTCAGGCCTCCTTCCCCAGCCTCGGGCTCCTTCCCCAGCCTTGGGGCTCCTTCCCCAGCTCAGGCCTCATCCCAGCTCAGGGCCTCATTCCCCAGCTTCGAGCTCCTTCCCAGCACAGGGCTCTTCACAGCTCGGGCTCTTC